ATTTGCAATCTATACAACACTACAACTACATCTAAACCTTCTTAATTTTTGCTTCTCTCAAGATTTACTGCTCCATTCCAGTAAAGTGTAAATATAGTAGGCCAATGACTTTCAGTTGATGTTAATGCACCGATCATTCCTTTCATCGAAAGGGGGCCCAGCTAGTTATATTATACCTCCCCCCCCCCCCCCCACCCAGGAATCAACTACGAGAGAGAGCTGGACGCCATGAAGCATACAGAGCAAGCTGCTGATTACAAATTGTGTCGATTGGGCATAAAAATAAACACGTACACTATAACTGGACAATCAGACTAATCCAGATTTTAGGGGTTTCCAGAAATCTTGACCTACACCAAAAGTGGGTATTGTCTTACCTATAGAAGAATTTTGGTTTCATTGGTGTGTATATGTGTTAGGTTATAGAGAAAACTCTCTTTGTCTTTTAAAGAAACTGAACAAGGGGCAAAAACGTTACCTTCGATTTTCTCAAAACAGCATTTTTCGGCACTTTCCCCATACAGGAATCAGCTACGAGAGCGAGCTAGACGCCATGAAGCATGTCCTACGAGTGGGGGTGAAGACTTGGCTGAACGCCCTGTGGCACATGGCCCAGCGGCCAGCCTCCATGACCAACATGACCATACCCCCGGAGTTCACCTGCGACTCTGACAAACCGCCCTACTGGGCAGATGGACATGTGCTTTACGAGTGAGTGAGATTTTATTTCTGTCTCTGTCTCTGTCTCTGTCTCTGTCTCTTTCTCTCTCTCTCTCTCTCTCTCTCTCTCTCTCTCTCTCTCTCTCTCTCTCTCTCTCTCTCTCTCTCTCTCTCTCTACATTGAGAACGTCCGTGTCCGATGAATGTCATTGTTGATCCGTACGTTGTGTTTTACTATCGTATCCATACGACTTGGGGAACTCTGTGCATAGCAGTCTTTTCTGAACTGTGAAATTGTTTTCAATTTATGGTATATTATTGCACATTTTCAATCAGCAATAGCTGTCCTATTCCAGAATCCAACCCAAACGTCCATACTATGACTATTTTCGCGTATACATTTGGTGGCTTTTAAGCACAAGAGGGCCATCCCGAAAAGTGCTGATTTTAGAAAATCGAAGGTAAAGTTTTTGCCCCTTGTTCAGTTTCTTTAAAACACAAGGAGACATTTCTCTATAACTAAACAAATACCGGTATACTCACCAAGGAAACCAGACTTCTCCAATAGGTAGAGAAATGTCCACTTTTGGTGTGCGTCAAGATTTCTGGAAACCCCCGAAATCTGGGTCAGCCCACTTGTCCTTAAAAACACCTTTTATAATACACCAAGTGTCTCCTTTGAAGCCAACAAGTCTACCACAACGAGATCAACAAAATTGTTATATTGAAAAACTTTACAACTTCCCTGCCAGGATATTCTTGTCGGTTCTTTCGGGGCGACAATAAATAAAGGTTCGTCTTGACACTGAAATATAATGCAGGCCACTCAAGTTCATATCTTAGTCTTACCAGAGTTTACTATTAATGTTTAATAAATGTTTCTCTGCATTTTTGGTGATGTTTGTTAAGTCAGAATGTGTGCCTTCTCATGAGGGTTACCTCAAACTGCTGTGTTGTTTCCCAGGAGAGTCGAGATAGTTATTATTATTATTATCATTATTATTATTATTATTATTATTATTATTATTATTATTATTATTATTATTATTATTATGATTATGATTATTATTATGATTATTATTATTATGATTATTATTATCATGATCATCACGCTGTTGGTGTTATTTTCGTTGTTGTTGTTGTGGTTGTTGTTGTTGTTGTTGTTGTTGTTGTTGTTGTTGTTGTTGTTGTCGTTGTCGTTGTTGTTGTTGTTGTTGTTGCTGTTGTTGTTGTGGTTATTGTTGTTGTTGTTGTTATCATTAATGCCATCATCACCACTGAAAGAGATTAAAATTTGATTGGCCTTGACTAGAAAGAGTCATGATACCTATCTCTGTGCGTGTTGTACTTCTACTAATAGCGAGTGAGAATGAGAGAGAGAAAAAGAGAGAGATAGAGAGAGAAAAGAGAGAGAAAAGAGAGAGAAAAGAGAGAGATAGCGAGAGAGGGAGAGAGAGAGAGGGAGAGACAGACAGACAGACAGAGAGAGAGAGAGAGAGAGAGAGAGAGAGAGAGAGAGAGAGAGAGAGAGATAGAACGGAAATGTTTTTCTATCTGTATAGAATTAATGTTTTAATGAATGTATCTAGTTACTCACGTTTCAACGGTATTTTGACTGTTCGTGAATGTATATTGCATTGTATATTTTTAGTGAACACATTTTCAACCTCACTGCGAGACTGTTTTTCTGGTATAAATTTTAACACATATGCATTTATATTATATGTATAATACTTTGTTTTACGTACACATTTGTGTCGATTAATTTTTAAGATGTGATGTCTTTTTCATTGTAATGCGCATTGAGCATCTTTTAGGAAATGGAAATGCGCAGTATAAATGCTATTTATTATTATTATTATTACTACTGTGTTCTTGAAAGAGACGTAAAATTCCCTCCCTAACCTCCCATGTCCCCGTCCACTAGCTACATGCGCAACGTGAGTATTCGAGACGAGCCTCAGATCCGGTTCAACTCCAACGGCACACTCAAGAGGACCGAGGTTCTCATCCTGAATCTGCAGCCGTTTGTGGACGCGGGAAAGAAAAGGACGAGGTGGAAGGAGGTAAGTGGAGAGCTGAGGGCACGCTGTCGCGAGTCATCACAGTTGGTTTGATTTTAGTAAGGTTTTTACGGCGCTTTCTGTCTCTGTCTCTGTCTCTGTTTCTGTCTCTGTCTCTGTTTCTGTCTCTCTCTCTCTTTCTCTCTCTCTCTCTTTCTCAATTTATCTATCTCTCTCTTTCTTTCTCTCTCTCTCTTTCTCTGTCTGTCTCTCTCTCTCTCTGTCTCTCTCTGTCTCTCCCCCCTCTCTTTCTCTCTCTCCCTCTCTCTCTCTCTCTCTCTCTCTCTCTCTCTCTCTCTCTCTCTCTCTCTCTTCTGGCGTTGTGGCGTCATTCACGGTCAGCAATGCCGACAGCACCCAGGAACTCAACTGTCCTTTTATTCCTGGCGGGTCGACGCGTTCTGCAGCTGTCGTCTTGGTTTGTCAGTTGGTAGACTGACATCCCTAGTGTCAACTGTCGTCTTGGTTGTCAGTTGGTAGACTGACATCTCTCGGCAGCAGCTGGCGGGAGCGCCATCTTGCAGGCTCGGCGCTCGCAACTGCATTAGGTCATATGAGCGCCAAAGGGTAGATGCCAACTAACAGAGAAGTCCAAATGGGGAATCAGGCTTACTCTGCTCACCTCTCTAGCCTCGACAGCACAAAGTCTGCTTCGACTATCAAGGCACCCCAGAAATAGTGGGTCACAAGAGTGTGACAAACAGACAAAAGTGGTAGAGGAAAAATGGCGATAGTAAGGAAAAGGAAAGAAAAAGAAGCTCTTCCCCCTATGATGTTCCGGCACAGAATGAGCGGGGCATTGATAAATCAGCCCATTTACGATTCTACTGTGCATGAGAACATGTTAATATCTCCCCTTTGGGAGTGGTCTAAAGACACACCATCGCGGTTAGATCAGGCGCTCGTCAAATTGAAGAGAATTGAGAACAACAATGTGTTTGCGATATGTCTGTTCCCTTTGTGTGTGTTCGCTACGTGCCTCTTTGTCATAAAGATCTTGTCAGTATGTTAGTGTTTTAGCACCCATAAATGGCAGCTTGCATTGTATGCTTCCAAGGAAGTTGAGGTTGTTTCCGAGTGCTCTCAGGTCTGCTGGGGTAATAGAATAGTATAGAATGCGAAGCGCATGGAGCTTGCTGTTGAGCGGGGATTTGCGCTACACAAATTATGCTATCTCTATTATTGTACGCATGTTTCGCTATGAGCGTGTTTCTCTCTCGCCCTTTTTAACTCCCAGTGGAGCATAGGCCATCAACAACATTTCTCCAGCGAAGCCTGTCCTGTGCATCCTTTTTCTAGCTGTTTCCATGATGCCCCCGCCTTTTCCATTTCCGTTTGTACCGCTCGCTTCCATGCCATCTTTGGTATTCCGTTTTTACGTTTTCTTTGTGGATTCCACGTCAAAGTCTGTCTGATGATGCTTGTCGGGGGTCTCCTCAGGGTGTGCCCAATCCAGTTCCATTTCTTCACCTGTATGTCTTCCTTTACTGGCCTTTGGCTTGTTCTTTCCCACAGTCGAGCATTTGTGACTCGATCGTACCACTTGATCCCCACTATCCTTCTTAGATATCCATTTATGAAGCTCTGCAGTTCCTCTGCTGCTGCTGATACTGGGAGCCTCCAGGTCTCTGAACCATGTGTGTGTTTGCTATGTGTATAATGTTCGCTATGTGCGTGTTAAACCGTACAGGTGGGTGGTTGGCGGGTGCTCTGGTGTGGTTTGCTTCTTCTTTCCTATCAAACATCTATTGCCTTTATCTCCCCTCCTTCTTTTCCGTGTTACTCTCTTGTGACACCTCTTAATCTTATATGACCTTATTGTGTTGCAAGTACCGTAAATCACTTACCAAGAAAAAGAAAAAGACAGTATAAAGTACATGTTTTTATCACAGGTTGGCCGATGGAAGCGACACGGTCTGATCATGGATGACATCACTTGGCCAGGGGGAGCTTCCATTCCCCCGAGTGGAAAGCCAAAAAGAGCCTTTCTCCGAGTTGCCACTTTGTACGAGCTTCCTTACGTCATTTACGGGGAGCTTGAAAAAGACGGGAACTGCCAGGAGAAGTCTTTGGTCTGCTGGGTGTATCGGAGGAACGAAAATAAAGAGCCGTAATTGTCTTTTCTTTTTCCTTTATTTTTTCGTCTGTCTGTTTGTTTGTTTGTTTACTGGAGAGAGAGAGGGGGAGGAGAGAGAGAGAGAGAGAGAGAGAGAGAGAGAGAGAGACAGACAGACAGACAGACAGACAGACAGACAGACAGACAGACAGACAGACAGA